GGTGAGGTAGCAAACGTGTTCCTTCCACACAGATCCTGCTGTCTGACCCCACAGAGCCTTTGCAAACCCTCTGTTGTTCCTGACAGTGCAAAATCCAACTGATTCTTCAGCCCAATATAATGAGTTACTCCTCAACTGAATTATTCCTGAACTTACTCCTCATCCAACACCTTCACAGAACTGCAGGCAGCCCCTCAGTGCCCCCCAGCCCCAGGGGCTGAGCAGGGATGCAAGGGAGCACCCCAAAGAGCAGAATGTCCCTTTCCCCCTGCCCTGCCCTCTCAGACCAAGCAGTACCTGTGGCCAGGATCCTCCTGCAATCATCCACTGTCACCCCGGTGAAGGTGGTCTCTTTCAGGCGTGGGTACTTCCCAGGGGAGCAGGAAAAGGAGGGAGAGAGACAAAGAAGTCACTTGTAGTGCATGGAAAAGGTACAAGTGTCACCATCTGGCACAGCCTGAGTGTGTGTCCAGCTGGGATTTTGTTCCTCCACACCAAGAACTAGGTGTGGAGCTGCCCTGGGTGAGCACAGGCACTGCTGCACCCACCCCTCAGCTGTCCCTCAGGCACTCCCAGGAATGCTGCCATTCCCAGGAATGCTGCAGCAGGTGGTGGCACCCCCAGAGTGAGGGGCAGTGGCCAGTGCCACAGCTCTCACCTTGTTTTTGTAGAAGTTGGTGTGGATCCTGACTAAACTCTCGTACATTTGGTCACAGGCCTCGGGGTCAGAGATCTGCAGGGGACACAAGTGGCACACAAGTCTGGTTTTACATCTCCACAGCAAAAACCCTCCTCGTTCCCAGGGACAATGGCCATGAAGGAGCAGCTCAGAATTCCCAGTGCACTGCTGGATAATGTCCATCTGTTGTCCTGCTCCAGGCTTTCCCCCTCAATCTCCCACCAGCTTGGCCTGCAGGAATAACAACACTTGGGATTTCCAGGATGGATCTGAAACTCTGCACCAACAAGATCTGACAGTGAATACACAGCCACAGAGAACATTATGGGCTGGTGCTGGGATATCTGTGGCCCTTCCACTTCTGTCACCTGCCTCTTTGTAGGGAATCACACAGGACAAGGAGCCAGGCTGGATGCTAAAAACTCCCTGTAGGGGGCTAAAAATAGCCTGTAATTGATGAAGGAAATCAGCACAAATGACAGGGAACAGCTTGAAGTGTAACTGGATTTCTATTTCAGTTGAAGATCCGGCTCATCCCCAACCTGTGCCAGGTGTCTCTGCCTGGCACAGGCCCTGCTCAGCTGCTTTTCCAGTCTACAGTGTTTTTCCTGTTTTCTTTTTGTGGTACAGTGAGCCCAGCTCATGCCAGAACTCAGTGTTGCTGCTCCGTGAATGGTTAAAACAGGTCAAGAGTAAAAATAACATCAACAGAAAGGTGTCAGGATGAAGCAGGAAGAGTAAGGGCTGCAGGAGAGAGGACACAGGGACAGCCACATCCCCCTGCAGGTGATCCCCACCTGTGCCCATCCCAAACACCCCCTGACAAGGCTCCAGCAGATCCAGCCATTAAAACACAGCACAAACAGCATCCCTCCCCTGGAAATCCAGCAAATCCCATTCCATCAGATGGCTAAAGAGGCCTCGTGGCTCTAGCTCCCCTCTCAGAAGCTCCTCCTGCCTCCTGCCAGCACATTCAGCCTCTCTACACAGAAACTGCCACCACTGCTGCAGGCATCAATTCAGATTTCCAGGATCAGTGGCAGCTTTGGGATCTTGGAGCCAAGTGGTGCAAGACATTAAGCTGTCCTGAGCATATGGAAAAGCAATAAAACCCTTCCCAAAATGCCTGCTGCAGACTATTCTGGTCAGCAGTACAGGATTAGGAGCCTATAATGGCCCCTTGAGGTTGAAAACGCATCTCTGGAACAATGTTTTTATGCTAAAAAAGGGCACATTTGCATTCTGCAGCAACACCTCCGTGCCTGGGAAGGTCTGCAGCCAAGTCAGGCATCAGATTCCCTAATTTATTTCAGCAGCAAAGCCTAAACTCCAACAGAATTACAGCTGGAGGCGGAATTCAATTGTACAACTGCTGCATTCCATCAGTGTCAGGCAGTGCTGCAGCATCCCACCCTCGAGGTAAGGAGATCACAAGAATTACCTGGATTCCAGCACAGCTGGAATTCCCAAACCTCCATACCCCACTCCCATAACCACAGGACGGGGTTCTCCAAAATACCTGGTGCAAAGGGTGCAAGAATTGGCTATAAACCAAAATAAAACAGCTATCCTGGGTACAAACCAGGTGTGCTGAGTAGAAATCATTTGTCCAGGGCACCAACCAGGTGTACTGGGCACAAACCATTTATCCTGGGTACAAAAACCCCATTGTCCAGAGCACAAACCATTTATCCTGGGTACAAACCAGGTGTTCTGAGTATAAACCATTTGTCCAGGGCACCAACCAGGTGTCCTGGATACAAATTGTCCTGGGCACCAACCAGTCAGTCCTGGGTACAAACCCGGTGTCCTGGGTACCAATCATTTGTCCCAGGTACAACCCGGTGACCTGGGCACCACCTGCAGTTTGTCCCTTGGAGACACAAGCCCCTGGCCGGTATTCCAAAGCCTTCCTGGGATGTGTGTTCCAAAGGCAGCCGAGTGCTCACACTCCTCGGGAGGAGCCGGGGGCAGCAGGACTCCATCACCCCCTGGGCTTCCCGTTCCCTCCCAGCTCAGGATGTCCTAAAATTCCATTAATCCCCAGCGAGCCCCGAGGCAGAGCCGCGTGTGAGCCCCAAACCCTGCGCTCCACCCCTGACCCCTCAGAGCCCTCTCAGAGCCCCCTTAGAGAACTTTCAGAGCCACCTCACAGAGCGACCTCAGAGCGACCTCAGAGACCGCTTAGAGTCATCTCAGAACCCTCTCGGAGACCAGCCAGAGCTACCTCGGATTCCCCTCAGAGCCACCTCAGAGTTCCCCCAGAGCTCTTTCAGAGCCACTTCAGATTCCCCTCAGAACTCCCTCAGAGCACCCTCATAACCACCTCAGAGCACCTTCAGAGCCTCCGCCGTGCCGCTCCCCGCGCCCTCCCAGCCGCCCTCCTGCCCCTCACCGGCGTGTTCTCGCCCTCACGGAAGGCCTGTGCCACCCGCTGCCGCAGGACCGAGCCCAGGTCCCGCTGCTGTTTGCTGTTCTCCACCGGCCACTCCTCGCAGAGCCGCAGGAAGCGCCGGTACCGGCTGGCGGCCATGGCGCCGGGTCACGTGCGCAGCTCACGTGGCGCCG